CCATCTTTAAAAATAAAGGTAAAAAAATGTTAGAATTCTAAAAAAAAAAAAAGTTGGAATTCTCAAAAAAAAAAAGTATCAGGCTTCTTGGAGAAGCTTTCCCATTTTTTTATTTATTATAAGTATAAGCCGGACAAAGTTAACGGAAAAAGTGACGGAAGTTAGAAATGAGGGTTATTTTCTTTTATTCTTATAGGTTAGGGGCTAAAACCGTTATATTATAAGGTGATGGATTAAAATCGTCTAACTTATCAAGGTAAGGGGCTATTTTTAGGTTTCGCCAACAAAGTTAACGGAAAAAGTGACGGAAGTGATGGAGGTGTGACAGAAGTTAAAAATGAGGGCTATTTTCTTCTATTTTTATAGGTTATGGGCTAAAATCGTTATATTATAAGGTGAGGAGCTAAAACCGTAGAATTTATTAAGATAAAGAGCTATTTTTAGGCTTTTGCCGACGCTAGGAGCATCATGACACCGGTGCCCAAAATAGTCGACTTCCTTCACTTCATGGGTAATTGCCACGGGAAAATTTATTCAATCGGTTCGCCAAATTTAGAATTAATGCACAATTTATTCATTAAGGACATTATTATCCTTATTCAACTCTCCACGTAAATGTTTTTAAGAAAATGATATGTGCACATCCGGATTCAACATTCAAGTATGCACATATCATATAGAAAAAAATATCCATCATCTTGTCTTTTTCTTTTTTCTTTTTTATGTGGAGATACACACCCAGATATTAAATTCGGGTGTACACCAATCATTATAGATGTTTTTAAGGTCCCCATGCCCTCAACTAGTAATCATAACCCTTATTTAAGTAAAAATTACTTTCTGCAAGTCGCTCTTTAGTTTCACGGATCACATTTTCATTCCTCACAAATTACCTTGCTCAAAAAAATAAAGAAAAAGAAAAATGTTTTTAAGTACATCGCGTCATGGGCGGTGGGCGGAGCCATGAGTAGACTAGGGGCGGTAGCCCCCTAAATTTTTGAAAAAAATTCAATTTAATCTTAAATCTTCAAAGATTTTAAGTACTAAATTATATCACTAGTGATTAATCTTTTAAAGGTTAAATACCCTTTTTGGTCCCTCTACTATAGGAAAAAGCCCTTTTTTAGTCCATATACTGAAAAAATCCCCTTTTTGATCCTTACTGTTTACAAATCCGGCTTCTTTTTAGTCATTCCGTTAATTTTTGACTGATGTGGCAAGTTAATTAACGAAAAATTTTATTTTTTTCTTTACTTAAATTACGTGTGAAATCCATCTCGCAAAACTCGATGACATGGCCAAATTTTTTATTTTTAATTACCAAAGTACCCTTATTTTCTTCCCCCATCCTCTCATTCCTTTAGCCTTTTTTTTTCTTTTTTTTCTTACATTTAGGCGAACCCAGGAGCCTGGGTTTGTCGCGATGAACCCTGCTCGTGGGTTTGTTGCGAACCCAGGAGCCTGGGTTCATCGTGATGAACCCTGCTTATGGGTTAGTTATGAACCCAAGAGCCTGGGTTCATCGCAAACGCACAAGCTGGGTTCACGACGAACCCACGAGCCTGGGTTCGCCATCGCGAACCCACGAGCTGGATTCATTGCAAACCCAAGCTAGGTTCGTTGCGAATCTAAGCTAGGTTTGTTGTGATGAACCTTGCTTGGAGCTGGGTTCGTCGCGAATCCACACTCCTGGGTTCGTCGTGAATCCACGCTCTTGGGTTCGATACATGGTCTTCTTGTGGTAATTTGTGGCACTTCAAGCACGGAAAAATGTTAGTTGGTAAGATTGGATTGATTTGGTTAAATGATTCTGTGATCAATTGTTGGGTTAATTAACTGTTTTTAACAGGTACTTCCAAGAAGGAAGTTGAATAGGTTTTGTTGGTTCATGAGATGAGTTTTAGTCCTTTTGGTTGAACAAATGCATTACTC